ATGGTTTCCCTCGTCTTTGTTCGTTTTGTAGTCTGAGGAAGCCATATCGGATATCTATTAATAGTCGAGATGCATTTATAGTCGGGCAACCAAGTCCACTGGAATTTCCTTTCTATATAACTGCCCTGCGGAGATAGCCGACTATCTCTCCAAGTAATTCGACTACTAAACAGTGCAGATAAGATATTTCGCGAATGCAAAGATAAATGAGTAGCGATGGATAGTGGGAGAGGGATTTGAATGGTATTAAGTGGATAATACTGCTCTTTCTCTCTCCCTCTACCTTTATCGCTAACCAACAATCCTATATTTGTGGAAGGGGAAAGGAGCTTGTCATTATCGTCCTGGTAATTACGGTGCTTTGATAAATTACGGTATCTTGGGATTTAATTATGTTGGTATTAGGCGATTTCATATGCGAGAGTTTTAAACAATTATATTTATTATCTATGAGTTCAACGGTATTTATATATATTTCAAGTACTTTCTTGGATTTAGGAATAAAAGAATGTGTAGTAATTTTTTTGCCTTATCCTGTGATACATTTGAATTAAAAAATTTTCATACACAATATCCATCGACTGATATATAAATATAATTATAAAAATTCGTAATAATAATTTTGTATATGGCGTAGATAAAAAAGAAATTATAAATCGGATCTTGTTATATCCCACAATGATCTTTAAGTTAAAACTTGATATATATATATATATATATATTTTTTTTTAATTTGTAGTTCATTTTAAATACATCGTACATCGAGTATGGATCGATCATACATACATATATTGAGAATATTGAACAAAGCTTAAAAAAAAAAAAAAATTGTTTCAAAGTCAACTTTGGTTTGAAATTAAAAAGAATTTTCTTTAGAAATATATTATAACTATAGAGAACATTCTAATTTAAAAATGAAATTTTATATTTACTTTTCATCGTGTTTTACGACCAATAAGTCTAACATTTCAATTAACCTGTGTATGCATATTCGGCGAGTAATAGCCACAAATATGTATGTACAATCTCGTATTCTCGTAATTGCGTTCTCATAACTTTTTCCTCCATGCCGAGGCTGTTAAAAACTTTTAATCAGCACTTATCTACGAAATTCTTCAATCAAAAGCGCATCCTCTAACTATGCACGCGTCGTAGCTCCGATCAGATAAAGTGGCGAAAAACTTATTAGCATTATAAGCCGCAAGGTAACTAGGAAAAGCGATCAATCGCGTGAAAGTTGAAGTCCCTCGCTGTCGTCGAGGGATGCATGCAGGCCATCGTCTCGAGTACCCGATCCTTATCCTCCGTCGACGATTCGCCTCCGTTTTCTTTATCTCCGCCCACTTTTCGTTCGATTTTGTCGCCAAACGACAGCTAAATTCAATCGGTTACCGGCTTATTAGCGCACTGAACTTTCGCCTAATCGCGTTATACTTGCAAATATCCCTTAGGTCGGCACCCGTTGGCTGCGATGCCATTGTTTTAATCCTTATGAGTTTACGCGTGTTTGCGATAAGTTTTGCTAGACATCGAAAGTGCCGTGTTATCTCTATGAAATGATAGGTGCACGTGTTTTTCATCCTCGTAGATCTCAATTGATTCTGCCTCACTTTATTATAGAAAGTTTTGACTAATCAAAGAAAAAAAAAATAAATAAAAAAATAAAAAAAAAGACAGTCTCTATAAACTACCACGTTTAAGTAAATATATTTCTTTAATTATTATTACACTAAAAAATTAAATAAAGTACATTCGATCGATGCGTCATGTATGAGCGATATCCATTTAATATAATTTAATTTCAATAATTGCAGTATCATTATTATCCTAAAACATATGTATGATATATATATATATATATATATATATATATATATATATATACATATAAATAAATTATTATATGTGATTGATGTATGATACATGGAAACTAATAGCAAATACATTATTACCAAGTTTTTTTTATCAATAAGGCCGAAAATTTAAATAAGAAATTAATATTTAATTTAGACAATTTTATGTCAGTTAATATAATCAATAATTTATGTTATCAACTATTCAGAAATTAATGAAAAATATTATATCGCGCATATTTAAATGTAATATTTGTAATGTTATTTTTTCATTAAAAATCAGGGATAAAAATTGCGTGAATTATTTTGTCGATTCATTACTTTTCTTGCTGCAACAACACGATAACGCGCTGTGAAAACATTAATATTTCTATTTTCAATTTTTTAGACACGACATAAAGTATTAATAATCACTCCGGTGGCACTAATGTCGACGTGTAATTGCACGAAATGTTCTAGTGCATTTTGCAATTGCAAGAAAATGTAATCGAAAGGGACGACAGATCTGGGTCAACAAAAACTACCGAGATGCATCATGAAAAATATTTTCCGACGGCAACACTGTTTCTTTGTCATTTATCAATGCTACGTATGTATGGAGATTTGATAGCTTGTATTTATAAATTTATAACAAAGAATTTTTATCAACACTTGTCAATTTAGTATGATTTTGCGCCGCATAAATATTATCATATTAAAATCTTCCGAAGCTGTAAATTTCTAACGACTCTATATAATTATATTAGTAGTAAGAAATCTTATTTTTACAGAAAATTTATTTTAATGAATGTTCTTATAATTCTCATGTTACTAATGCTTGTGGAATAATTAAAATTTTCTTTATATAAGCAGTACTATAATTAACATTATCAAACCATCTTATTATGTCGTATTTCTGTTCGATTGAAGCTCCCATCGGTGAAGGAAGAAAGTAAAAAGTATGTTTTATTGAATTCTGAATGTAACAATGTATAATTGCTGATTTAATAAATTTAAAAAATCAAAGGAATAATAAAATTTTTCAATATATATATATATATATATATATATATAATTGAAAATCTTTAGGATTCATTGTAATATGAAGAAATTGCATTTTTTCACTAATAAAATTACACAAATTATTAACTATTAGAAAACCTAAATTTCAGAAACACATGAATCAATATTAATTACTCTGTCACAGTTTCCTTCTTAAATTTACCAATAGAAGCTAACAATAACTTCTGCATCAATGTCAATTAAAAAAGCTGCGCTCGTCAATCCATAGCGAATCGCGAATAAAATCAGGCGATATGAAAAAAGTTGTGATTTAATGATTGAAAAATTATTTTAAAAGTCGTCGTCGAACGCGCGCGTATCTACCACGAGTGCAGTGGCGCATCATTGAGCATGAGAATCCTAAAGCAAGAGCTGAAAGAAGCTAGGGGTCGGGAAATTCAGGAAAGCCAACATCGTCTCTGCACTGCATTTCCAACTCACGCGCGATAAAGTCAGAAAGAATGAATCGCTCGCGTAATACGCACTAGAAGCCGACATATACTGTTGGCATCTCTCTCGTACCACATCGAGCCAGAATCTGTCAAACGGAAATAATAGTAACACTAAACACGAACTACAGCCGCGGAAAGTTTTGACTTCCGACGCGACTCTGCGGATGTACCAAGGATGGCACCACGGGGGTGGGAATTTTTGTGCGACGGATAAGAGTAGATTTTGCAGCATCGCTCGTTTCGATAGCGATTCTCTTTTTTAAGGCTGATCTGGAAAAAATTTGCAAAATTTGAGAATGAAAAGTTAAATGCGGTTGTACCTTTGGATGCCAGATGTGGAATATTCCGGGGTCGGTGGCGCGGATGACCTTGATATTGCTCTTTACGTACTTGCGGTAGAGAGTTACATCCTCGCCTCCCCAGCCAACAATATTTTCGTCGAAGCCTCGCACCCTTAAGAAGTCCGACCTACCGGGCGAAATTCAAAGAATTCAAAAAATTACTTATTTTTTACAATATTAATAAAAATAATAATAATAATAATAATAATAATAATAATAATATGCACGATAGTTACTTTAGTGCTTTTCATTACGATAAATAAAATGAGATAATTAAAGAGGCATTATTAATCAAAGATAATAAATTGTTTGATAGTTGATTTGTGACTCGTTGAAAGAAAACAAATTTTAATATATATGACTTCAGCCATTCGAAAATTAATAAAAATTTTATTTAAATAATCAATATCGTAATGAATTTTATTCTTTATTATTATTCTACTTATACGACCGGGAATTTATAAAATGTTGTGATATTACAGGAGTGCATTTAATTATATTGAAAGCATATTGCTGTTATTATTAAATATATATGTATATATATATTTATTTATTTATATATCGTACCTCCCGATAAAACTTACTTCCTATTAAAATTGTAAATTTAAAGGAAACATAAAAATATTATACGCATCTCAATAAATTCGTTTGTAAATTTGTATTTAAAAAAAATTATTTGAATTGAAGCTATAAAATGATTTATATTTATAAAATGCATGTTTTAGATATGCGAAAGAACTTTAATGGTAAATTTACAATGACAAAAATTAATTAAAAAAAATATATATATATATATATATATATAGCTTAACCGGAGATATGAATTTAAATTTAAGTTTACGTAAAAATTTCCGATAGCATTGAAAATGACATTGTTGGATGACAGTCATATAATTTTGAGAAAAGTATGAGAAAACACAAAATGAACGACCTTTGTTAAAATCGAACATAAAGTATGAAAATGGCCATGCAACACTCTGCAAGTAACTTTCGGCCTGATCCATTATATCCTAAGGGTGTTGCCGGACAAATACATTATGCGCTCGCTAGTTGATTAAGGTGTATAAGGTCACCTGTACTGGCAGGTCATTCCGTAACCAAAATCTCGCCAGAATCCCGTATCCCTCGAGATCACTAGCTGATCCGTTTCCGGAGGCACGTCTCTTCCCTGCAGTGTATACACAACGTGCGGATTATACAGGCTGAAGACAATGGGGTAATAGACTTTACGTCCGGGGGCTGTGTTCCATCGACACCTGAGGCACAAAATAAATACGTCATTGAAAGACGGCCAATAAAAAGCAACATCGGGCGTCTAATATTTGCACCTCACTCGAGGCTAGAAAGTTTAATTGTTCCCGATATCCTACACCGGCACTCTCCTCTCTACCTTTTTTTTAATTTTATTTAACAGCGATATTGAATTTTATGACCTTTATAGAGTCGCTAAAATAATTAAAATTATTAAATTTTGATATTCAACTGCTTTTATTGCTCGTTAGTCGAAGAGTATCGTAGCAGAGTTATGAAATCAATAAATAATGATATCAATGCAACAATTGCAAAAAAGCAAAGTGAATAAATAAATAAATAATAATGAAAATAGTAAAGAAAGAAAAAAAACTTTAATCCCAAGCAGTATTGGACTCTAGTTATAAACAAACCAAATTATTAAAGTTTCTGGTTTTATATAAAATGGTCGTATTACTATGGTTGTTGTAAAAAAAAAGCAAAAAAAAAAAAAAAAAAATAAAAGAAAAAGAAAAAGAAAAAAAGTGAATATCCTTCGAGATAGCTATTCTAATGAGAATAATAAAGAAATATACTTGAAATGTTCTTTTATTAGTTTATTATACTTATTCGTACGAATACATCATCTACAAAAATCTGCAAGATTTTTTTTGTCTTAAGACATGGTAATATTACGCTCGAAATAATCCTCCACGTAGCCGGTTATAAATCTAATGATCTAATAATCGAGAGATCGTCTCATGAATGCGGTCGACTAGTGTCAATCAATTGACTTTATTCACACAAAACTGAAATATCAAACTTTCGCCACTGACTTCCAAATCCGATATAAACTAACTTACCTATCCAAGAACCTCGCGCTGAACACGATGTCTACATCGCACATGAAGAGTAGTACATCCTTCTCACCGCCCCAAGCCCTTTCCGCACCCACTCGCAAGCCCTTACCCCTCGAGAACGTCTCATTCAGCGCCAAAAGTCTCAGATTCTGATTAGTTCCGCCACTACCCCTTGTCATCAGAACTCTCGACATTATGGCTCGGGCCTCGCTCAGACCCTCCGTGCCAAAGTAGACGACTGTCAAGTGTACCCGTCGGTCGTTCTTCAACCCGATTTTCACAAACTTGTCCATGAAGCTCTGGAAGGTGCCTGTCCTCCCGGAAAGCGGTAAAATGATATGGATGAGTTCCTTCTCACGACTGCGCTGTTGCTTCTCCAATCCAACGAACTGAATCGGCGCGTACGGCCTCATTAGCGTAATCTTCGTGTAACTGCTCTGCTTCGGCATGCAAAAGACCATTTCTTTATAAAGAATGAAGCTCACGACTCTCCACCTTCGTTTTTATTCGGAAAATCATCATACACTCTGAGACTATGATTATGCGCCGTTATAGCATTATCGTAATCGCAACATTATTGGATAATCTTGACAATAGGACACGAGCTTTATAATCTATAATTCAAATCTTTAATACTTTACAAGATATTTTTAAACGAAAATCCCCCCACCCCACCCCACCCCTCCACACACGTACACACACACGTACACGTACACGTACACATACACACGATATCGCGAGTGAGACGGAGGAATTTTTGACACTTTTATATTAATAATTAGAGAATAACAAATGATCGTCTGTGTGTGAAAGCTCGTTTTTTTTTTTTTTTTTTTTTAAATTAAGAACTTAAATTATATTAAATTATGTTTTCGTCGCTATTGATTGTAATAAATTGCTTCTGTACACGGTAACTAATGAAACAATACATCATGCAAGTTGAATACTAATAGTGTCAATGAACGTATGAACTTCAAAAAGTCGTTTGGAATTTAATAATGATACTCGGACCAATTACGTTGTCCAATAAAATTCTCGTAGTCAGAATTAGCCATTTAAGATTTTAGCCCCAAACCCAATTGCTCTAAGTAGATCTATAATAATAAAAGGACGGACGTAAAGTATACTCAGGATCAACATTATTGTCTTTTCGCGATTTCACGTAAACTAACCATCAGAGTGGTCACATCAATCATACGGATGATGACAATTAATTTTTATAATAATGCTCTTACCTGCGGTCCAGCAGCACCGCTACTACTCTGGCCTTGGGAACTTGTTTGCGCTGTGCTTTTATTAAGATTCTTCGTTTTGAAATACATCTCGTATTGGGTGCCCGTGGTCGGCTCAATGCGATAGAGACCCTCGAGGAAATCGTCCTCGCTGTATCTAACCGTGGACATGGTCCCCGTCCCTGACTGCTGGAAGCCAACAATCGATGCGTTCCGATTGAGGATATCAACGGCCTTGAGTAGGGCTTCGTTAAGATCCTTGCGTTTGAAGCCAATGGGCTTTTCAACGACGCGCTTACCGAGGCCCAAATCCACGGGATAAAGTCGCGAGACGGTAAAGTGACTAAAAGCTATGAGCTCGTACTCGTTATTGAGCGAAAGTCCTTGGGTAATTTCAGCTTGATCGACTTGTCGTCGAGCGGCCAGGCAGTCACCGATTTCACTGCTATTTAGCATTGACGACGTGTCATAGCCGTGACCCGGTGGTCCGCCTGTGAAATAAGCGAAATTATTATTGTTGCGTCAATATTTTGATTTACTTTACCATTACAACTATTATTATTATTACTATTATTGAATGGCGATTAATCGATTGTTATGCTGTGCTTACAATGAGGGATTTGATGTATTAATTAATGTGAATTTAGAATTTCAGATGACGACGATACTGTTGCGTCGGTATAAGCTTTTAATTGTAACGGTCGTAACGTCATGTACGTAAAGCGGTAATACAAATATTCATCCGAGTTAATAGGCTAGCAATAATTATTAAACAAAATAAATAAATTTTAATAGGCGCTACGACTATATTCATAACTACAATTTAAGAATTACAAACTTAGTACAATTTGCTAGTTTCCGTTTTTAAGTAATATTTTATAAATAAACTATATGATGAAAATCGGCTACCTATAGTAGATATCAAATATATCGAATCTGTGTGTGTGTGCGCGCGCGCGCGTGTGTGTGCGTGTGTGCGTGCGTGTGTGTGTCTGTGTGTGTGTGATAAATGTTGACAAATAATCAAATTCTATATGATTTAAAGTCGATGAAGTAGTATTGTTACATGAGTAAATGTAAAATGATTTCACATACGTATAATAATTAAGGAAATATGATCAGAAAATTACATTGTCAAACATCTGTATAAACTATGGACTGAAATAAAATTGAATTGTTTGTTTTTTATTTGAATGGAGATTGTATTGTATGAAACGGAGTGAAACAAGAATCTTCAAATTTCATTTTAGAGCAATTGCTTGAATTAGCAAAGGATTATCGATGTATCGAAAGAAACACGGTCTCCTCTTCTTCAATTTCTTTATTTTTCATTTCTTCCCCATCTCTATCTATCTATTAGTTTATCTATCTATCGAATTTTCTCTCTCTCTCCCTCTTACATATACACATATCCTTAGCTTCCCTCTTTCTCTGTCTTCATTTCACATTTCTCTAGAAGAAAAGTATACATGTTGAAGAAAGAACGTTTTCCCCTAAAAAAAGAACGAAACTTCTTTATAGCACAGCAGTAAAATCGATGGCTTTTACGATGGGAATCTTATATTGAGTTGGCAAGAAAGAGAGCAGGAAGTACAATTGCCATTACTACGAATCTAACAAAGACTCTATTCGTCCTCTATATACAACATAACGCCTAAACAAAAAACAAAAAAAAAAACGAAAAAAAAACGAAAAAAAACAAAAAAAAAAAACAAAAAAAAAATCCAATACACAGATGCTTTAGGTTATAATAAAAAAAGTCAGCTCACCCTTCTTCCCGATAAACAACATTTTTTACGGCTTTACGCATCCTGTCACGCTTCTGTTTTCTCGGTTTCCCCGACCTCTACTCTTTCCTTCTTCTTCGTTCCTTCTTCTTCGTTCCTTCTTTTTCCATTTTTTTCTTTAACTAAAAAAGCCGCGAATTTATTTTGTCTCTTTCATATCCTCACATGTATGTTTCAAATTTTGCATTGCACACTCTTTTACCCCTTTTATAAATCAAGCCCCGCGATTCTGCTCTCTTCTGGTTCTTTCAATCACTATTTTTTCTCACTTAAGTATCATCTGGTGTGTATGACTGGTGACATGACATTGTTTACTGAAAGCTTTAGCTTCGTAATCATAGAGAGAAATCAAAAGGAATAAATAGAGGTAGGTAAAAGAGTGATTGAGAGAGTGAGAGAGGATTATCAGTCCACGGGGAACGCGCAAGCGATAAAAACTTGCAGTTTAGAAAGGAATTTCAACCAGTAACGTTCAGACATAAATTTCAAGCTCTCTTCTAGTCCCTGAACAACGGTATTACTGCTACTTTCAACCCTTCACGCTACGATACGCAGGTTCTTCGTTTCTTTTCACTCGGTATTCAGTAATAGCGCCCTTTCCCACTCTCTATTACTTTGTCTGCGTTTGTATATATGATGCCTTTTCGATATTTTAATGGCTTTCGAAGAATCGCTTTAAACTTTCTTCAAACGTTCTTTAATTTCTCTCTAAATAAAATCTTTAATACTTTGCCGATAATTAAAAATAAGTATCTTTTATAACGAATATTTTACAATTAATAACAATTTTTTTTTATTTTTTATTCAAATAACTGCTCGGAATTATATATATATATATGACGAAAAATTTTTATTTTACTTGCATCTGTAAAATATACACAATCTGTTTTCTTTGTTTGTTTTTTTGTTCTTTTTTTTTTTTTTAATTAGCGCACTGATTGGTTTTATCGATGTATTAATTAATATTAAATAGTAAAATGAACGAAGTTAGATTTTCTAAATGCAGAGTTTAAGTATTTGTTGTACAAATCGTTTGTAAGTATTGTGACATGCCATAGAAAACTCGCAAACCAATAATATTCAATTAGATTTAATGAAATTTATCTTGAACTAGTCACTAAATAAATTAACATCTCAAATTCATTTGTCATTCAATATTATTAAATTTACAAATTTACAATCAAAACTTGTATATTATATTACAATTCTTAAATGGAAATCTAATAAGTATTAAAATCGGGTATAGTGACATTTTGTATGTAAGAATTGCATACTTCACAACTGTATACATAAACATTGCAGCATGATTATTGCATTAAAGATGCTTAAATTAATATATAAGAATTTAGTTTGCTGCGTCTCTATCAATTACGATTTAATTTTAAAATAATTAATATTCGATGAAGAGTAGAGTATATTGACGATAGCAAGTCGTTTACGTTTACTTACGTGGCGATTGCTAGTTAGTATTTATGATTTTACACGGCGATTTGGAGTCATATAAGTAAGAGAGTAGAAAAGTAGCAATCAACCGAAGTGGGAGTAGTAAAAAAAAAAAAAAAAATAAAAAAAAAACAAAAGAAAAAAGAAAAGAAAAGAAAAGGAATTGAAAGAAAAACGACCCCTATCTTACAAACGAACGAACTTTTTCGTTGTTGTAGAATCTTAAGACTTTTATAGTCTTTATACTCTCTTAATCTATACCGTTCTTTGCTTCAGTGTAATCTCGTAGCGCTTAGAGAGGTCGGCGATGTGACAGTCACACTTTTGTTGAATTTTTCGTAAAAGAGAGATAGAATTTTCATTGTCGTGAACTAAAGGATACAAAAAAGTTCAGAATTCTAAGTAAACATCAGTGATATAGAATCCAGCATTCGTCAGATCGTAATATAAGAGGCTTTTGAGTAGTGAAAATCAATGATTATTTTTTATTTAATCATGATTGAATCAAACGTGAATATTCTTCAAAAAAGATTGTATTAACAGAGGATATTCTTTATTGTTAATTATATTTTCAAAACAACAAGTATGTACTTTCTGCAATAAGTTTATATTATATATGCAATAAACGTATTAGAAGAAAAAAACACATTTAAACAAATTGCAAATTACACGTTTATATTATGATAAATATTACCATCGTGAATATTAATTTCAATTATTTATTATTTTGTAATTAAATATTAAAATATTTACATCTATTACATTGTTTTCAACGATGTGAAAAACATGTAAAATTTGAGAAGATGGATAAAGAATAAATTATAACTATATTTTACATATTTTATTATAATTATTCATGACTTAGTTATTACTATTGAAGAGATGAGTGAATACGAATGTATCCATAACTCGTTTAATATTGAGATTTATGCATATTTTCTTTTGTTACATCTTGGTTATGATATCTTACATGATTCAGCAGTTTTATAATGCATTATGCGTTTTAAAAATTCAAACTACATAGAAAAGACCTGAAATGAGATGTAATTGAAACGTGTCGAAATTTCAAATTATAAATACCAGAATTTTTGGGCGTTGCTGAAGAAGTTTATTTTAGTTATCGAGCTGGAAAATTCTTAAACTGGAAGTCGATCTTCACCAAAGTCATAAAATCGGATGATAAAGCAAACAATGAATCCAGATGTTGATGCAACGACAACTCTTAATTCAAAACTTATTTTTCTTTCTGATTAAATTTATATTTAATTTAATTTTAAAAGTATGCATAAGAGGCAAGGAAAAAAATAATTTTATGCTTATGAACATTTATCAGTATTGTACTTTTAACAATTATTCGAAATATGTCAGAATTCTATTTTAAATATTAAAAAAAAAAAAAAAAAAAAAAAAAAAAAAAAAAAAACATGGATAGAGAATTACAATGCCTAAAAAAATATTAAACGTTCATAAATATTTTTTCGTAATAAAATATTTTCTTATTATGTGCTATTTTATTATATAACAAATGATAACAGTATAGAATGGCACTTAAAATCTTTTTATCTTAGACATCTACTTTCGTTGTAAAAATTTCAGAATTAGTTTTTAAATTAGGCAAAATTATATAATATATTTTTTTTTTATTTTTCAAGTCCTTTGATAATAATTATAATTAATTGTTAGTCCAAATAACTTAAAATTTTGTCTTTCCTTCTTTTACTTCTTTGCATAAATACCTTCACGCAATATGCTCAAAGTAAGTAGTACTTTGAAATTTAAGGAGGCAATGTTTATTCATATGTGAAATTATGTGCACAAAGATAAGAAAAAATGAAAAAATGCAGTGTATTTTCATTTTTGCCTAGATGGTGTCTTTTTTTCATATTTTGTTTTTTTTTTCTTTTTTTTTTTGTTTTTATTCTCTTTGTTCGACATTTACTTTTTTAAATGTAAGTGTAGTGAATACAGAAAAATTACAACAATAAAATTCGTTCGGGGCAATCACTATTGAAAGAACCTGTACATACGACTTTTTGGTGGATTCTCATCTTTCTTTTTGCCGCATTGCGTCGCAGTTTTCATTCCTTGATACGGAAGATGAAGATTAATGTGCGAAGCTTTGCGTGCTTACATCTGATCAATTTTAGTTCGCTTAATTAGCGCCTCGTACTAAAAGAAAATTGGCAAGATATCTGTTTTGTTCTTAAGAAATTATACGACGTTTGCACGCAAGTAGATTTTTCGATCGGTAGAGGCACAAA